TAGTGTTTATTAATTAAAAGAAAATATGTAAATAAAGTCGTGATAAATTATTTCTATTCATGATATATAAAATATAAAGAACCGCATTCAAAGGCTTTTAATTAAAAACAGAAAACGACCAATATCCTTTGTGACCCACCCATGGCTTATAATTTTGGATAAACATATTTTATATCTTTTTATACGCCATGATTAATATGACAAAGTGGTTGTTTTTTGTCTTATAAAAGAAGAAAGACACATACAATACTTATATTTTTCGATATCAAAATTCATATCTGTACTTAAAAATGAAAGATTGTGCAAGAAAAATTCTACTGTAACAAATTCGAATTACCTATCAGTACTTATTATAATTAAAATTATTTGTATATTTATACTAATAACTTGAAATTTTAAATGTAAGAATTACGATTTCTGGAAAATGTTCGATTATGTTTACAGAGTTTGCTTTGAATTAAAATGTTAGATACGAAGAAAGTATTAGGTAATTTCACTAATATAATTGTTGAATCATTGAAACGCAAAAAGACCCGTCATCAATTTGAAAGATAAGAAACTAATTTATTTTATTTTTACGGAAACAGATTAATAGTAAGGACAAATCTTCATCACGAACGGTTGGCGTCATTCAGATTTTTCTATTGAATTTTTTAATTTAAAATAATAAAGGTAGCTTAATAGACTTTTATCTTACAAGAGGTTCAAACTGGTTATTAGACAAGAGTTTTTGTTATAAAATCTTGTTTTTCTTTGCTTCCATCTTAAAAAACATTTAATTTGATTGAACTAAACGGATATTATATCATAAGAAAAGTTAAGACGTTAAAACGAAACAATAAAACATATAGAAACTTATATACTCGTATATTGATCTAACATCGTATGGTGAAATTTTTTAATAGAAAAACAGTCTCCGAAATTTTAACCTTTAATTAAAATTCGAGATCAGGAGAAGTCAAAGTCAAAGTCGGTTTCTCAGGTATTTCATACATTATGTAGCGTTATTAAATTACTTAATAATTCTTATTATCTTTACGTAGTAATTCTGTACTATAAATCAGAATTCAATAAGCGATGATTTTTATTGCTGATATAAAAATAGTGTAATTAGAGCCATGCGATAAGTAATGAATCCAAGTAGTAGAATAGACATGTGTATAGATGCTTTCCTCTCATTAATTTTTCAATTTTAATCTGGACCTTTCTTGAAATTCTATTATATATGGACAAGGTCGTCCATCGCTAAACCAATGAAAGTATATACATCTTATATGCAGTATATGTGACATCAAAATTTGAAATATTTTAAATTAATGTGTTTAAATTGTTAAAATTACCTTCAAATCCAACTAGGATAAACTTAACAGTAATGAGAAATTATTGTTTTAGCTGTATTTACAACTTTCTTGGTAATTCGGAAATTTATATGAATCTATATTTTTCAGAAATCACCGTTGCAGCTGCCGCAAAAGGTAAGTTTAGATATACATAAGTTAACAATTAATAATTTATAATTTGTTGACACTTATATAAACCACGACGTCTATTTTTCAATGTATATTAATTTACTTGAGACCAAGACAAGATTATTTTTCGAAATTTTTCCCTTTAATTTATTTTGCAACAGTTGTATGTATCATTAAAGTCTAAATAATAACATAAATATATCTTTTATCCTTAGTATTTAATGAAAGTAACAAAAGATTAGAAGTTGTCTTACTATTTGTATACTGTGGTTCTCTAAAACTAATGAGAAAGAATCGGTATTACAAATTGAACAAGGTTTCAATTTTCTATTTAACAAAAATATTTATAATTTTAGAGAAAGAAAGCTTAAGAAGCTTTAAAAAAACTGAAACTATGTTATTCAAATTTAATTTTAGTTATGTTCAGCTCAATATAAGTAAAAAGTTAAAGTAATTAATAAATCACAAGGTAATCAATTTACTTTTAAAGTAACCCTGAAAATCGAACTTTAATTACTGTAGCCTTTAGATTTTTTGTTCACATTATTCGTTGTTGTAATTACAGTACAGTTAATAAACGTCAGTTACACTATGTGGTTCAGAGACACGAAAATTATTTATTGCGTTACTGTTTCTAGTTCAATGTCTATCACTGATATGTTTTATCTAGAACTATTTGATTTAAATTACCTAGTGGGTTAATACTTTTTCTTTGTTATGGTAAACTTAATTCTTTTGAACAATATTTTAAATGTATTTATATTCAATGATGTCGGAAGTAAAAATTATCTGTCGGAAGTAATATCTTTTGCCCACAGGTATTTTTTTGGTAAGGAAAAAAATGCACTGACAGTAAAGAGACAATTTACCAAAGAGTTATAAAATGTAGTTAGAATTATTATACTACTTTAGGAGGATAAACATTTACTATATTCACCAAGAATAATTTAAAAATGGTGGTCAATTCAGTCTGTAGTCTAATAGTGTGCTATTTGTAAATAACTTTGATAAATTATACTGCAAATAACTTTTTTAAGAGGAATTTGTAGGAGAATTTATTTAAGTAACCCATAAAAATTAAACAGTATCTATAAAATGTAAGTATATTCCGATAAATAAGTAGATTACACAGATTTTATTCACCCACAATAAATAAAGTAGTAATTTATGATATATATAAATAAATATAATAGAATATATATTGATAATAACTAAACATAAATAAATTGTTCTGCTAGGAGGTTCTGAGTGGTCTATTTTTGGAACAACATCTTGAAAGTAACTTCAAAATTGACTACTATTTATTAGTATTTATTTTGTTGTTTTGCACTGGAAAACATATTTCCCATTTTGTCACTCTAATTCGTCAAACCGTTCACCGTCACTCTAATTCGTCAAACCGTTCACCGTCAAAAATTCGTTCTTAGTTACTGTTATTTCTTAAGAACTTATCCCAATTTTTTTCTAAAAAATTGAAGATCAGAAATACAATAAAGGGTCATTTATAACAGTGAAAACGTGTTTAGTTCACAATGATCCTACATGTAGGCAAGGAGAAATTCTATGAGAAATGCAGAAGGATCTTTGTCCTTTGTAGAGTAAATCGAATTCCAATGATTGCTTATGGGGAGTAGGCTTATTTGTAACATAGTTTACTTGAAACCTTCCGTGTTTACAACGAAGAGTGTTTGGTAACTAATATTACGAGATGAATTATTGTTATTAAATCCATAACCATAAAGCGCCTTTTTATCTTGAAAATATATTCATCAGATTTCGCATTAACAAGGAAAGTACCGAAATTTGTTGTCTTTTTATCGGTCTCATTATTTACATTTACGAAGTAAAGATATTTATTTATATTTCAACTGTGTTAATTTTAACTGGCCTTAATTTTAAGATTTTTTCTTATATCTATCTAACAAACGAATCAATTCGAGGATAGCTTCAAAGGTAAGCTGATAATAATATAAAAATCTTATAATTATATAATAAATATACATATTAATGTACATTAATAAAATCATGAAAAAATATGCCCCATAAAAAAGATTTTTTTTCGTTCAAGTTATATAAGAATTTCCAGCATTAAAATTAAGAAAGTGAATTTCTGCGACTAGTCATCAATCATTGTTATCAAGGCTGTCTTTTGCTTCCTCGCTTCTAGTAAGATATCTTGTTACTAAGCTAATTACAATCATAAATTACTTGGAGAATGTTTACTTTAAATTTCTGCTGTTATATAATATTTATAAAAAAAGATATTAAAAAAAAATTCTCTTTTAAATATTCCAGGCAGTTGTATGAAATCATTCTAAAAAAAAATAGTAATATACTTATTTAAATATAAAACTGAGTTTTTTTTTGTTGGAGTAAACCAGGACGAACTATTTAGTTTTTGAGGCCCTAACATGTGTGACGTGAGTTGAACTTATCATGTTATATTATTCATTATATCATATTTTACGATAGATATTATTATTAAATTATTAGATACAATATACCAGAATTTTTAGTGTACTTATCTCTTTAGCAGAAATAAGCAAGGATTGAATAATATAAGGTCTAAATAGGTAAAGTTCTTAGCTGTTACCTTGTAGAATACAAAATACCTTTAACAAGGCGGTACGTACATATCTGATAAGTTTAGCGAAATATCTTATCCAAATCCAAGTCAGTTGCTATTATGAATATTTATGGAGTTAATCGGACTTGTTTCGCCTTATTTTCGAAGTGTTTTTTTATATTTCTTACGTAATTCTTCATTCCTTGGTAGTCAAAAGAACGTATTTTTTTACTTACGTAATTGAAATTTAGGTATATATTATCGATATATTCTTAATAAAAGTGTGTAGCATATTTTGATCTACATCTTTTCGATAGAATCACTTGACAGAATTATACATGTTGTGTAGTGTATATTAATTATTTTTCAACAAAACCATAACTAAATAGATACATTCAAAAATAGTACAAATCATTATAATATATGTATATCGTCATAAGTTTTACTTTATATTTTTCCCAGAAAAGCTTAATATGACAATAAACCTGGAGCTTAAAATATAGACTTCCATTTGAGATAGTACATATAACGAGAACATCCTCAACAAGTAATGAAAATCTTAAATATTTAATAATCAGTATTCTGAATAAGAATTTTGTTTTTTTATCACATTATTTAAACACGTAGCAAAAAATATATATAAACTTTTATAACATGTATCTATTTGATAAGTAAATTATCCGTAATTAAGGTTTTAGACAGTTAATTGACAAAAAAAATTTAATAGAGTTTTCGTATGAAATAATTTGTCCTGCTTTAAAATTTTGGATTTCTTATTTTTTGGTATTACTTTTATATGAAGATATCTAAGAACATATTTTAAATAATGTAGCTGATAAATTTGTTTTTTATTCTTAACCTTGATTATTTTCGTTGGTAAAATACTGCAAATATAGAATAAGTCATTCTCGCCACCTGTAAATGTATCAGAGGTTTACAAAAAAAAAAAACTTAAAAATGAATCGTTACGTGAGCTTACTTACCGATACGAAGGTACTATAAGATAAATCTTGAATACCAAAAGCCTTCAGCACCAAAGGTCTCTGTGCTTGTGCACATCCAACAAGAACTAAACGTCTTATGTCTTTATGTGGATGTCTGTTCAGTTTACACAAATGCCAACCAGAATAAAACATAGAGTTCGAAAGCAATGAAGCCTGTTAAATAATTGAATTTAAAAGTGAAATTCATGAACAACATATTTGAAAATAATTTTTTAGAAATATTACTCACTTCATAAGTAATTTCACCCGCATTCCAAAGATTGAGAGCAAGCAGGTAAAAGAGCGATCCCACAAATGTATATGTCATAAAAGCATTTGTCAGGTTTAGATGTGAAGAAAGCTGGAAGTTTTAATGTAGTTAAGTATTGAGTAAACAACTGTACTTTGTTTACGATAGTTTTAACAAACCGCTAAGCGAAGTAGAAGCAACACTGCGACTGCTGAACTTTCACAAACTTGGAGTGACATTATGATTCCAAAGACGCGATTTATTTCTTCCGCCAAGCTGAACAAAAAGTTACGTATAACGTTACCGTAACAAAGTATATAAATATTTTTATAAAGCAACACTTACAACATTAGTTTATGGTGCATTTTAACTCCATTCAGAAATCTCACTGTCAGTAAGTTAGCTGCAGACTCTGTCCCCATGATAGTCAGGTTTTCATCAAATTCCAAACGGATATTCTCAAAGTAGTGACGAAGTGTTTTAAATTTATGCGCCATTGTAATTAGGTGTACTATAGGCATACAATCTGTTGCCATCATCGGTAACATCATATATAACCATGTCATATAGAAGAATATTCGTAGTGCACTTGCTATTATGGATTCGTCATAATAGCCCGGTATATATGTCACTACAGTATAAAACGGTGTACCTAAAATATAAATACTTATTGAATAGTACATGAAACATTTTTATAGAAACCAGGTTCTCTTTATACTTCAATATTTCTTCAAGTATTTAATTGTTTTTTTTATTTTACTTTAAATATTTTAGTTGAAAAGAGTTGTTTATTTTCAGAGAGAAGTGCAAAAGTTGTAAAAATTATTCCTTCATTCATTAGTTTGAATATCCTTTGATATATTTTTTGTTGTTTTCAGTTGTAACAGTTTTACACAATTAATAGCAATACATAAATTTTAGTTACCTTCAACGAGCACTTTTCTTAAACTCTCAACACCATAAGCAATTAGTGATAAGTAGACAGTTACAGCATAAAATATTATTCCCCATTGTACTCTCAGCTCCTGTTGTTTCATAACATTTTCTTTTTCTATTTCTTCCATCGCTGAAGCCATTTCACAGTTTAATATTTTAATGGAACTTTTGTAAAACAGTAGAAAATACATTTTAAGAAGAATAATATCGTGGATCGCAGAAAACATGACGGCTGATTTTTTCTCTACTTCGGGAAAGTCGGCGAAAAGAGCGGCTAGATTTTCGAGTAGTATCATAATTAAATATATGGAAAAAGAGATGTAATGATACAATTTATATTTATTAGATTCTTCAAAGGATGTATCATACCAGAAGTTACCAGCTCCCGAATAGTATACATATTTGCAATATTTTTCCAGTACATATTTAGTACCGATATTCATTTTCGATTAAAACTTTGGAAGTCCGTCCGTATTAACAGAACATAGAACCTCTACTAAAAGGCACAAAAAATAATATGAAATTATAATGGTAATAAAATGATGTTATTAAAAGTTGATAGAGAGGCTAATTAGATGGAAACAAAGCACTTGAGCAACAACATTGTGAAAACTAATTATTCTTTTTTACAAACTTTGAAGGTCCTTGGATTATTAAACATTATGAAATTATATGAATCACTTAGTCGTCACTATCCATTAAGTATATTTTCATTGTATGGTACTGGTAATATTTTGGTTTAATTAAGTTATTCGAACAAAAACGTAGGTAAGCTAGTGTAATATAACGTTGATACTCACTTGCTGCCTTTTTCTGTAAAATACATAATAAATGTGATACTACATCACTTTATATTAGTGTTAAATGTAAAATGTAGTAACTTAATATTTTAAGTTTTTTTTATTTATTTATAGTTAAGGTACAATTTTTTACCATGTCTTCTTGCAAATTTGTTTTGAGAATGATTATTTAAGAGTATCAAATGGTGAACATATAAAACCAAATAGCAAATTATGAATGTTCCTTATTCAAATGGCGGCTTTTGCAGCAAAGTTATATTAATGCAAAGTTTATGTAAACATGATCTCCTTTGACTCAAAGATATCCTTGCACTAAAAGTTTTGTTTTAAACAATTTTCATAGAACAGTTATGAATTTGTACAGATATCATATATGAAGCAGTTTCTTTGAAATACCTGCCTACATTAATAAACCTATATTTTATAAAATTATTAAAAAGGTATGTTTTAACCATTTAAACAGATTTAATACATTTTTAGTACAATTCTGTAGTGAATACCATAGATAATGTTAACATAGTTAAGAATACATCAAAATAATACTTTGGTTGCAAGTGATTATTTTTAGAGGCAAAAAGGTTTATAAAGTAAACATAAATAGACCTGGAAAATATAACTTTCTTTATTTCCTAAAAAAGTAGCGTTCTTTGCATCATTGTCAGTGAAATTATTTAATACTAACATTTTTTTAAACGATATCTTTATCATTTGAAATCGTATAGGTTACAAGTTTTCGATTATAGAATAACGTGATTATATTTTTTTTCCTGGGAACAAATTGGACTGTTAAAATAAAGAACTATGTAGGCGTATTATCATAATATATATGTAACTATATTATATTTATTTATTACATTACATATTTGATATATAAAATTATATTTAATATTTATTCACGTATATTACACACTATACATTCAGACTACACATTTATATATTCAATATTATATGCATAAAAATTTATATAATATTATTTATTATAAAAAATTAATTCACGAGCATAGTCGGGTGAAACCTGTAGTATGCGGCAAGGCGAACGGGCGACGATATAAGGTTAAGTTTACCCGTTTACCCGCTACTGCGTTAGATTTTAATAATTAGATCCGAATAGCGAACTTAAACATTCCATCTTGCGCTCCGATACCGAATACTCTTATTATCATTTTTCGTGTGTATTAATAGTTGATTATTAGTTTTCTACTTCCGAACTGTATGAACTTTAACCTTTCTGTGTCAATCTTGTAACTTTGTTCTGTGTGCATTATAACAATATAATTACATTCAATATAACAACATAATTCAAACCAACGTTACGGACATTAATATCTCCATAACTATACTGTTCAAACCAACCTAAAACTTATTCTTCGTAATTTCAGAAGTAATTTCGAGATTCTTTTAGTCCAAAAGTCCAAAAGATAATTTCATAGTTTGAAATTTTTTATTTTGGATAGTAGGATAAAAAATATATTGCATAGTCATAGATTTACCAAAATTATAAATAAACATGAAACCAAGCAGTGCATAGGTATATTTTCTTAGCTATGACAGCACGGTTTAAAGAATAAAGTTTTGGTTTATGATTTTTAATCAATTTTAAGCGAGTTAAAAGCATCTCACGTATCATCACATATGTTTATGGCCATTTTAGTAGCACGTACGCATTTATGTACTTTAGACTGCGGTGAAGCCATTGCTAATAATCATCATCATCATCATTTTAGCCTATTGCAGTCCACTGCTGGACATAGGCCTCTCCCAACACGCGCCATAACACTCGGTCCTCTGCCTTCCGCATCCAGTAAGACCCAGCGACCTTTTTAAGGTCATCGGTCCACCTAGCTGGGGGGCGTCCTACTCTACGTTTGCCGAGACGCGGTCTCCACTCAAGGACACGCTTGCTCCTAATAATATCAGCTAACTAAATACATATCGATAATGTCTTTAAACTTCTATTTTATTTATAATTTAATTAGGAGATGTTAAAAAATAATTATTTTATGGACTATGTTCATTTCCAAATATAATGGAAACTATATAAGTAAGACAATTAGAAACAGTGGAAATGTTTTAACGATCAAAAGATTCTAGAAAGCTGTGTAATATTAAAATATACATGAATTTTTGTTTAACTTTTTGCTATTTTGCTGGCATTCGCTAATTAAAATATAAAAAAGTTGAAAAAAAAAATAAAACTTTATTTTTCACTCTATCAAGTAGCTTTGCATTTTGCAATTTATGACATAGTTGTCATTTAGTAGCTCATGACAGGACTAGGTAACACGGTAATATCTTCCACTACCTCTATGTTGAAGTTTTCCACGCGCTATGGATCTACCATCATGTGGTTCTGTATTCGGTTAACTATTAACAAGTAAATTTTTTTCTACCTGGCAATTTCCCAGCTTTAGCCAGGGTCTGCCTTACATGTTATGAATAGTTTTGGCTAATTGTTTTTACGACCGGCCGCCTGCCTGACATCAACCCTCTTTTGGAGTGCATTATGCTTGATATCTAAATACCCTCATAAAGTACATAATATGACTCAGAAAAATCATATTAGTACTTGCCAGGATCAAAACCGCGCCCTCATGCATGACAGGCAGGACTTTCAACCACTAGGCCACCACTGACTAACCATTAACAAGTAAATATAAAAGAATATATAAGGAAACTATTTTGCACGAAGTCGATGCAATTTCTTAACAGCAAGGCTCATTTTATATGTACATCAACCCGTTTTGATAGTTCGTTAACAGTCATAAACAAAAATAAATATACGCATACACTTTAAATATTCAGCAAACCAGACACGAGTAAAATGTGTTATTTTAATTTTAAAATTAAATTGAATGGTGTTCATTATTCCTATATCAATTACGAGAGGAAATGTTAAATAAAATATTAATTCTTCTCATTAATTAATTCTTATTTAATGTTTGAAATATTAATTTTACTTGGTTTGTAAAGTTTATTTCGTTGTTCATAAAATGATAAAGGAAAATATGCAAATGAATATTTCAAAAATACGAAATTTTTGGTGCTTTTATATCAATACTTCGTATATGAACTGTTTTAATTTTATATCAGTTTGGAGATTATTTGAAACAGTCACACATACACACATACATACATTTTAAAGGTGCAGTCTGTGAACATAAATTATAAAGGTCCTCTCCCTGCAACGCGATGGACCCGGCACCCGCACGGTTGACCAACTGAATTCTGAGAGTTTTCATCTCTAATATGTCATGTCTTTTATTGCTTCTTGAAGTCTTAACTATCCAATTTTTTTACTTATTATCGTTACGGCTAGATGATACAAGATAATTTAAATGCTAAAGAACGAGTAATTTTTCTGATCTGTGAGTATAAACTAATTGCTATTTTAGTTAAAATTCAATATTTGGGTATAGAAAGCAAGAAATATTTAGTTTTATAAACATTGAAGGACGATAACAGGAACGCAAAATTTTTATCATTTTTAATATATCAAGATGATTCAGAGGGTTAGAAGTGTGGGGATTTTTAGTGTAATTTACGTCTTACTCAAATATTATGCTCTTCCTAAATATTTAAGAATAATATTAATGTTTAATACAGATAATACAATTTCTGAAATACATTTAATATTGACTAAGTTCTACCTATTTCAAATTAATTAGTTTCACTAAAAAGGCAATGTTTACGCTGATTAATTCTAAAAGCAAAGGATGAGAAGAAAAATTTCCGTTAAATGTTAACTTGACACTTAATAGAAAAAGAATAAAATAAACATTTTAAATACCTTCGACTAAGGACAGTTTTCGTCGGGGACTAAAATTCCTCTCTTTGAAATGAACTACTCGTTATTTTAAGAGTTGAAACTTTAATTGAACTTTGTAACGGAAAAGGCATCAGTCGAAGCGTTTATTTTGTGCAACTACAAGCTTGCAACCTTCTTTTAAGATAACAATAATATTCTTTAAAATAAATTTAAAACCGTGAAAGTGTTTGCTATATTTAAATAGAAAAATAGGATTTCTTCTAGGTAATCTAAAAATAATTAGTAGGTATCTAACAATTTACATTTAAAAGTAATCAGTTTTTGCTTCATCAATGAAGAGTTTTTTCATATGTTTTATTTGAATTAATTTTGCATTCATAATTATTATTATTATTATTTCAATACATTAAAGTCATGCACTGTTTCAAAATATTACCGAATATAAAAATTACGAAACTATTGTTTATTAAATAATTTAAATTTTAATCATACATGAATTTTACAACTAAATTATAAAACGGTAATAATAAATTGAAATGTTTGCTTAATTGCATGTAATAATTAAAATATCAATAATGATAATTAATAGACTTTGATTAAACTTAATTCCTATTTTTAATTAATACCATGAAAATAAGTATATTACTGGAATGAGAAGCTTTATTATTTTAAAATATGTATATATATGTGTAAATACTTATAATAGTAACAATTATTTCAAATGTTGTTA